TCTTAATAGACTGACAGCACTTCCAGTATCTATCAAACATTCGATCGGTTCACTGACAAATCAAGCTAAAATGTTTATGCTTACATGTCATGCAGCGCTCTTTTGATTTACATAAGCAGACCACGTGAAATTTTTGGAAGCATAGAAAATATCTCCCGTTCCATTTGAAACTTTCTAATTTCTGTTCGCGTTCCTTATCACAATTTTCGGAACTGTGCTCAGAATTATTGCAAAAAATGCAAATTTTTTTAAATGTGCTCAGTGCGGTTGCGTTAGGAATCAAATCTTGCTGCTTCCCTTTAAACTTCTGAAATCTATTCCCATTTTCCGAAAATGTATTAACTGACAGTTTATATTCTATGCTTTTAACTGATTCATTATTTTCTCTTGTTTGATGAAACAAAAATGTTTGTTCTCGCATTTCTATTTCTCTTCTAAGAAATTTTAATAATTCTGTTACATTCCAAGAATCATCTTTTTCATGCTGTCTATAAAAATCTCGCACAATGGAATCTGGAGTAAGTTTGGTTAGTAGTGGAAACAACAAACTTCCATATGAATTCATTTCGACACCAAGAGTTTGTAAACCCCGTACTTGGATTTCTATCGTATCATGTAACTCCCTTAACTGTTTCAAATACGAAGCTGATTTTACTGCACTTAAATTTAACAAATGGTTAATATGAGATCTTACAATAATTTCTTTTTTTCCCGTATCTTTCTTTAAGCAATTCAACTGCTAAATCATATTAATTTTTTTCGATACCAATAGTCCTTGAATACTAATTAAGGCTGGTCCTTTCAAGAAAGCTTTAAGATAATTATATTTATCTACTTTAGATAAGCGTTCGTTACTGTGAATCGCATTATCAAACTGTGACCAAAATTCCTGAAACTTCTCTAAATTACCCTCAAACGGTTCTACATGAAGTTTCGGCAAATTTATTCTTGGTTTGTCTGGTTCACTATTCGAAATAAGTGAAGAATTATTCTTCAACACCAAATCTGCCTTATTTCTATCTGAATTCTGAAGATAATTCTTAACTTTCGATTTCGCGTAGATGATACGTTTTCTGTATTCCTGATTATTCTCGACTGCTGTTTCTAGATCAGATACTTCAGGAATTAAATTCTCAATTTCTAGATCTAATTTAAATATCTGATCTGCTTTTTCTTGTAGATTCATATCACATTCTTCTAATGATTTTGTATCTACAATATCCTGTTTCAATAGTTCACATATTCTGTTAATTACTTGTGTTGTTAACTTTCTTAAAGTTTTACGTTTCGTTTTTGCTTTATCTAAAGCTTTCTTTGTATTCTCATCCATAATATTACCTAATAATATAATTCAATACTTCTAAATTCTGTTAGAATTATTCTACAGTTCGCATGCATTCAAATCTTTAAAAACGAAACTTACCCCGCTCTTCGACGTTCTTGGTACGCGAGTCATTCAATGCGTGCTTGCATCAATCCATCCCACTTCTGAAATGTTAACTTTAATCTCTGTTATCAATCTCAGGACGGCTAGGGGTAAGTCGGGCTTTCACTTTTCATTCAATCGGGATAACTCTTGCATTTTATAAATGCTTTATTATTACAATAAATATATACATATATACATATCATTACAGAACATTCTTAACATTAATCCTATTCTCTCACTTCCCGCTTGATATCGTGCGCCCCCTATCGGTGGCTTTTCTAAAATGCCATATATCGGCTGATAACATGTACAAGGATGAAAAACAATATTTAATTTTCATAAATTATATGACATCATATATGGGTCATTCACAAAATTGAGGTCTAAAGCTAAAAACAGATAAATCTTACATTAATAAAATATGTGACCATCCTGGAACTTCACAAAAACTTTACAGTGATTGCAAATGCTCTCAGTGAAGTGATAAACCATCACAGATGCTAGCAATGGCCATTCCTCCATTACACCAGTTTCCAACTATCTGAGACTAGCTGGAGGAGGTAAACATGTAAAAACAGCATGTCCAAGAGCAACCCAAGGATTTTCAATGGAATTAAATTTGAAGGAATACAGTTATTACTCCACAGGAGAAATGCTCTCACTTGCTGTATACTTGTTAATGAAGTTGGTGTGATGAGTATGAGCACCGTCCATAAATTGGAAATCAAAATCAACTACTATAATACAGTCTGACATGGTTTCCAGAACTTTATCCCCATGCCACTCAGCCATCACAGAAACAACTTTAAAGATTTGGAGCTGGGTGTGATATCTCATTGAAATTTCAGCTGATACCCCAATCCTGCCACCTCTGAATGCATGATGTTCTGGATCTGATTCTGTCTGTCTCATTCTCTCTAGATCTTTACATGCTTATCATCTGATTTTAGGGCAAATCTGACCTCATTCATGAACACAATATTGCATCAATATAAAAGAGTCCAATTAAGATGCTGATACCATTTTAATCTTGACCCTCAGATTAGGTGTTTAGTGGAACACAAAAGGCTACAGTCCCTTCATCAGAAGACTTTGGTACACAGTAAATGCCAGAAGAAATCTTACCAAGTAACACGGTAACCATGGATATAACAGCTATAGAGGTCGCTCATTGATTTGGCTTGGCTACTGTAGCAATATACGAGGTGTGATCCAAAACAAAGTTTACAAGGCAAATGAAAAGTATTTATTAACAATAGAAACAAGATACAAATGGGAATCAAGAGACACATCTGGCCTTCCCTTTTCCACATAGTCGCCAAACCTGTTTAGGCATTTGTCAGAATGTTCGACCAACTTGTTTATCCCGTCTTGGTAGTAATCAGGACCCTGCTCATTGAGCCATTTCTCGGCAGCTATTTTCACTGCATCGTCCAAGGTGAACCGTGTTCCGGATAAGTATCGCTTCAACACCGGAAAAATGAAATAGTCACTTGGAGAAAAATCGGGGCTGTATGGTGATTCCAGACCTCCCACTTGAACCTTTGCAGCAATTCCTGAGTCTGGCGAGCTGTATGGGGCCTGGCATTGTCATGCAGAAGAATGATGCCTTTGCTCAATAATCCAGGCCGTTTGCGTCGGATGGCTTTATGCAATTTCGTTAAGGTGGCACAATAACAATCGGCCTTAATGGTATGGCCACGCTCCAAATACTCGATTAGGATAACACCAGTCGTATCCCAGAAAACGGTTGTCATCACTTTACCGACGGAGGCTGTGACCTTAAACTTCTTCCTCATCAGTAATCCAGCGTGTTTCCACTACATCGTGGCTCTTTTGGATGTGGGGGTGAAGTGATGAAGCCATGTTTCATCACCGGTAACAATGCAATCAATGAAGTGTTGGCCGTCTGAATGGTATCGCTGAAGAAATGTGAGGCTGCACATCATTCGAGTGGCCTTATGCTCCGCGGACAACGTACGTGGAACCCAGAGGGCACAAACTTTGGAATATTGCAACTCATCGGTTACGATACGCTCAACATTACCATAACTCAGGTCCAACTCTGAGGCAATCTCACACACGGTTACTCGTCGATCCCTTTGGATGATTTCTTCAACACGTGCCATGTTGATATCCGTCCTTTAAGAACTTGGATGGCCCCTCGCTTCCATATTGCGGTTTTCCACATGCTCCCTGCCTGCTTGATAAGAACGACATCATTTCGCTACCTGTTGTCTACTCATTGCTTTGTTCCCGTATAACTCAACGATTTGTCTGTGAATTTCGGATGCGGCCACATTCTTGGCCCATAAGAATCGAATTACGATTCGCACCTCTATGCGAGACCACTTTTCTAGACGTCATGCCATTACTGTCACTTTTTAAGTGTCTGCTGAATACATACGCTACTTACTTGTAGAACCGCTGTAGGACAACTAGCGTGATCTGTCAACCACCCTGGGTGGAATAATTCGCTCCACAATTATTACGTTTCAAATGCTTCTGCTTGTAAACGTTTTTTTGGATCAACCTACGTACCAATCTTTAGAAGGGGCAGTAACACCTGGTTGAACCATCTGGTCTCTGTACAATTGTTTGATTTATTTATAATTATTTATACATCTGAGAAATTACTGGATAACCAATGGCAAAGAAAGCAGAGATATCTTTGATTGACTGCCCTGTTTCAATGCATCCTACAGCACGCCATAGCTCACTATCTGACATTCATCTCCTTTCATTCATAGAAATGAGAATATCATAAAAAATTATCCTACAAAGTTATAAACACTTTGTATCAGTATTTAAATGAACATCTCAAATCTTTCAGAAACCTGGCATCTTTAATGACTGCCTAGTTAGCATATGTTCGTACACTCAGTAGTGACTGGTATACGATATTTGCATACTACAGCTGAGATTTTAAGCCACTCAAATTTTAAGCCACCCAAACTGACATCTTACACCAGAAAATTGCATTTTTCTCACTTTTATGTATTCAGCACAATATGACCAATTTTTCTTTTTTAAACACTTTTCTAAGCCTTCTAGATTTCAGCCCACAAAACAGTTTCATTTTATAATATTGAAAAGCATAAATCTGCTTTACTGGTTAATTTCATATTCTTATATTATGAACAATTAAATTAAGAATAAAAGATACCTTAAACACAATGCTCATTTATATTATGAATTTTGCAAAAATGATAGCGATAGTGTTATTGCTTACATTTATGTTTACAATACATATCTAAAATAAAGTTGAACTGGGCAAATACTTAATATAATAATCACTTAAATAATCTATTCAAATAAATTTTCAATAGTTTAAGTTTATTATAAGTATTTTATCAACTACTCCAATGAAATTGATAATGTAGCACTTTATGAACATGTTTTTATAAAAAAACTTAAATTTCTATTATGACAGGTTTGATAGCATATATTTGTTAAAACTAGTTTCTGATCAAGTAAACATGTTTATATACATATCATTAATAGATATGCATTAATAAATATTCATGCAGAATATTATATACATTTTATCGAGTTAAATTCTTATACTTACATCTGGAAAATGTTTATATAAATACATGGCTAACGTTCCACCACCTAATCCTATATCAAGAATTTTAGGATCTAAAAAAAAAAATAATAATTAATAAAATAAAGTATAATATTTCAATTACATAAGACACAAAACTTAACAGATAAAAACAAGATTCAAAATAAAGAAAGTATAATTAATCGAGAAAAAGTATAGCAAACTAATCTGAGGTAATTCAATTTTCATACCAAACTTTTGTTTTTCTTTTAGCCCAAAAGGAGCTATTAGTCTCAAAATGGGATTTTGCATCAGTTCGCTATAAATGGTTGCCATAAAATATTATCTACCTCTATTATTTTTAAAGAAATTAAATAATGATGAATTATCATACATATGTACTTTCCTTGCATTGAGGAAAAACCATCGTACTAAAAGCCATCGAATTTTGAACAATATAGTCCCCCACTCGAACGTGTACACTTCAAATTTCGAACTTGTTTTATTACTTATTTCATATTCTATAAAATTTACATAAATTTTTTATTAACAAATTTAGCAATTTGACAGCAAGCAGTGGCTACACTGTATATAATAAAACAGTTGTATTTTCTGTGAGCAAGACTGTCTATTGGAACTTCGAAAGATTTGTTGTTTTCAAATATTTTGTGATTTTGCAGTTGAATCGAATTTTATGTGGCGTAAGTGTAAAGAACATATTTAGCTAATAAAGTGAACACAAAACATTAATAAAAGACAAAAAAAAAAAAAAGTTCTGTAAGTCATCTCACTAGTATTACTATACTGCTTTTAAAATTTTTGTGATTTTGTTGCTGATAGTGTATGCCATAAGTGGGAAAAAATGCTTAATAATAAAGCTAAAAAGGGGGGAAAGAGGTCAGCAGGCTAAGTGCAACAGCAAACTGACAGACTGCGAGCCCAGTGAAAGCACAAAAAAAGCTTAACAAATTCTTTTGGGCAACTGTTAAAATCTGAAACCTTTCATACCCCTCCTTTTCTTCTGGTTCATAACTGTAGCAGCCAGAGAAATCCAGACAGTATATCTCTAAATTTATTCTTTTATTTACTATGATTGTATCAGCCCAATAATGCCCAAGTAAGACTGCTAAAAAGTATAGTTTGCCCCGAGTTTGAATCGTGGCTGAATGGGCATTTTTCAGATTTTCATGTCTACTTTGAATACTATCCTGTTTCCATCAGAAACTCCTCCACATGGGTATCCCTACCAGATAGTTATACAGTGCTTTTCCATAATGAAGTAATTTAATTTGATCCTTGATTCTGCTAGTGTAATTTAGTGTACACATTAGTTAGGTTGGCATATCATAAAATAAACTGCTGTTATAATTATATTTATTTATTATATTTACAGAAAAGGTATTAAAAGTCATGACCTTTTTAGAACAATTTTATTTTATTTTACAAGATATTAAATTTAAACTGGACTACACATTTATGGGTACACATTTTTATGCATATTTTGTTGTAACTGTTTAACGATTCCCACGTTGTTCTGTTATGCGTAAGATTTTGAAAAGTCAGTTTGACTGTAGGGGCGATGAGAATAAATTCTTTAGAAGTCAAAATTGGTTTGATGAGTTACTTGCAGGAAGCAGGTATTGAATATAGTCATATTGTGTGTCGAATTTCTGATTACTGTTTTGTAAGAACTTCATTTATGATTACATTTCCATTTTGAATCATGTTCAAGACATGGTTTCATTCAAGTCAAGATGTCTGGAGCCAAAATTATTGAATATGGTATTTTGAAACTTGAATCTGTTGGATCAAGTCTTTTTTGTATTTTGTAAAAATTGTTGTTTAGTATGCCATGTGAAGATGGTGAATTGTCAACTCCTTGTTCTTTGAAAAAAAAAAACACAGATGCTAGAACCTAAGAAATACTGGCAAGCAGTTCATTTCTTTTTAAGGTATTTTCTTTCTTCTTACCATGTGTCTCCATAGTATACTTAAAAGCATTTCGGATTAGAAATCGGATAAATTCCTCAGGATTCGAACTCTGGTCGAAATGGAAGACACTGCACATTTTCCATGTTTTTTGCATTGACAAATCTAATGACTCTAAAAATGGCACTCAAAATAAAATGTGGCATAGCTTAGCCATGCTGGCCATGACCTCGAGCTCAAACATATACGCACATACCTGCCAACCTCTAAAGGTAAAAATTCAAAAGATTTCTCCCCCAAATTCAGAAGATTCTCCAAAATTCAGAATAACGCGAAGAATTAATATCATGCTTTGATATTAAAAAAATAACAATTTATACAAATAGAAAAAAGAAAATCGTACTTACGTTAGTAAATCTCAATTAAGTAGTAACTAAAAAATTTATTAGGAAACATAAAACAAGACCTTAATGTTACACAAAAAAATTATTGCAATGAATTTAGAGTGCATTTTTTGGCTTTAGCCAAAAATTCTTTGGAAAATTTCCTGTCATAACAATTAGTTTCCTCATAACATTTAGCAATTAAAATGTTTTCTAGAGTTTTTTGGTGAAATTGAAGAACGAAACATAGTTTTGTTTTTCTTCACAACACTGAAGACTCTCTCGCACTCAGCATTACTGTGTGGAATTACGAGAATAGCACATAAAACTCTTGCTAGTCTATCATATTTTGGTGTTCCATCAGCTCTTTTTATTCTTTTTAAGGTACCAACGAGGACATCAAGTCTATCTTCTCCAGAACTGGCAAAGTCTTCAAACTGTGCAGCAGAAAATTGGTTCTGTAGTTCATCTAAAGCATCATTATGGCATTAATTTTCTTTAATTGTTAACAAAAATGGAAATTTATCAATAAATTGCCACTTCAACATTTAAAAGAACTTCATTCTGCAAAGGAAACTTCCTTACAATGTAATCATAGGCTGAGGAAAAGTACTTTCTAACACATTGAAAAAATTCTTTTTTTCTCATGATCTTTCAAAGAATTTACAAGTTCCCTGGTTTGATTTCCAATTATAAGATCATTGTCATCCTTTTGATTTGCCAAACTATTATAGGCAACACGAATCAACACACTGTTTTTCACAACGGACGGTTTTACAAACTTAGTATAAAGTTCTTTCAAAAGATCATTAAGAATTTGGATAAGCAGGGGAGATTTTGGCGAAGCTGATTGTAGAAGGGTATTTACACTTTCAAAAATCTTAATGGTACTTAACACAAAACTACAATATGCTTTGTTCAAATCCGAAGAAAGAAGATAGAAAATCCTTTCCTCCCGGCTAATAGAAGACTGTTTCTTTCTTCTTCCCTTCAACTTCTTTAACAAAGTTGACCTTTGAGGAGTCTTCTAAGCATTTTCTTTTTAAAGGGTTTGATTCTGTGTGTTGGCTTTTCCCTTTTAAAGCATTTTGATTAGAAGCAAAGTTGGTTTTTCGGAATCTTGATGGGATCTGTGGTTTCTTCTTCGTGGAAATATTTTAGCAATGCATCCCACTGTTCAATAACCTTCCTAGCGATAACCTAAGGATAACATCTCGTGCATACATGTTTCAGAATTTTTCTCGTTTCACCAGAGCACAGTTCTTGGAAATTCTTTAGGTTTTCTTTCCTTTTTACACTTTTTTCCAGATAGAAAAACACATCAATCAGAAGCTGGTCAATATTTAATGGTAAAGCAGCTGCAGCTTTTTCTGCTGCCAAATTAATTAAGTGGCATGGGCATCCAATAACAATTAATTCATTTTGTTCTTTTTTGAGGAAAGAGGCTACACCCTTTTTGTCACCCACCATGACATGAGCATTATCTGCACCAAATGAAATGCAGTTTGATATTGGGATGTTAAGTTGTTTCAACTCATTAATTACCAAGGAGGCAATATTTTCCCCCGTAGCGTCTCCATTTAACAATGGAAGACGCAAAAGATGAGTTTTTCATTTCATTAGAAACATCACAGAAATATGTGACAAACGATGGGGTAAAGCTTCCAATCGCTGTCGTTGCTGCCATCGATTGACACCGAAAATGCTGAATTCTGGAGTGCAGCTATCGTTTTACTTTGTGCATCGCAAGCAATTTCGTTCACAATAGAAGATGTTTTCGTGCGAGCACAAGCATATTTCTGAGCAATCTTGGAGTCGGGAAACATCCGTCTGAAAAGTTGACCGGCGTGATCGGCAGCGCTTAGCGGCACGTTGTGTTCGATGAGGAATGCAGTAAACAAACACTCTGCCAAAATGACATCGGCATCCGAATTCGTAGCCGAATTTGAAAAAAAAATCATCCACTTTCTTTGACGTTGTCGAAGCCGAAGCATTAACTTCATGCTTTTTTAGACTTAACATGCTTCACAATGTCGCTTCTTCCACCGTGACTTATTATGAAGTCACACACGCACACGTTGCAAAATGCATAGTTATTTCCTTTGAAGGATTCTTTAATTGTTGGAAATTCGGCTTTGTAGGCAGGCCGAAAATATTGAGAATACGGTTTTTTTTTTTAACTCATTTCGTAACAACGACGTATTAAGAAAATTCGTAGCACGCGCAAACAAAACAAAAAAAACAAAAAAAATAGAATGCGACAATCCACGCTAAAAAAATAATCTGGCGCCCGCAAAGAAAGTGGGAGAAACAAGTTCAGCGCATTGGATTGGCTGGTTAAGCGGCGAGTTGGGAGAAACCGCAGGTTACTGGATTCGAAGTAGTCGGTAGTTGGCGGTAAAAAACACGATGCAATTGGCAAAAATCGCTGAATTGGCGAAAAATTCTAAAATTTCGACAAAAAAAAATCACTAAAAACACTTGAAAAAGGAAAAAAATCGTAAAAAATGGATTACGATCGTAAAATCGTAAAGACAAGATTCGTAACAATTCGAAAATATCAACTACAACAAAACATCCATTCAAATAAAAAACATGCGCTGCTACAGTATTCTGCGACTTCCAACGTGGAAACGGGTACACATGTGGCACTATTAAGATGTAAAACATGGTGACATGAATCACTTTTGTATTCCTTGTAAATAAATAGTTGCCACTATTAAAGTTCCAACCTTCGTACTTAGTGATTCTACATTCTTACTGCAGAAAAATTAGCACTGCTGCTGGATATAGCAAGATAGTACAAAATGTCACACACCCAGTTTCATCATGATGATGCAGAGGAAATTTTTTCAACAGAATAACATCTAAATATTAAAATAGCTTTTATCAGTTTAGATGACTTTTCACAGAGATGCTTTAAACAAACTGCATTCATAAACTATATACACACACACCTTATAAGAGTTCAAAATGTTAATGCTGCCATCCAAAGTATGAATAAAGAAAAATTTCATCAGATTGCCAGGCAATTTGCAAAACTTGCCAACATAGACACTGAATTAGAGGAACCACATTTGCGACATATGCTGTAGGTAAGGTATAGTTTATAAATCTGTATACTTATTGTTTCTATGAAAGGTTCATTTTAAAACTGAACACTCTATAAATAAACAATGTTATGCATTAATTAACTGTCTAAACATTTTAGAAAATAAAACATACATACTTAACATTTCTGATTCTATAAGAGCAAGGCCTGAAATTATAGCAACATTATAATCATGAGCAAGATAATCAAAATCTATCTCCAATTTGGATACAGTTTTCTTTTTCTTCTTTTTCTGACCTATTGAAATATATTTTAATTAATATGATAAAGTAACTGCATAAAAATTCCTTCAATATAAATAAATAATCACTCATTATATTGACGACAAAATTTATATTACTTTAGAACATACTTAGAACTTCATGTTGCTAATAATTTCAATGTACAGCTAGCAAAAAAACTTACCTAGGATAAGTTTAGCTTCAGACTGAACTGAATAAGGATTACAGAGAAAAATCAATCTTCTGTACATATCGCCATTGCCTGAACCAACATCTTCAATAATATATTCTCCACTAATGTCACTCTTTCCACAGCATTTAATATCACGTTTTCCAACATCATTTCCTAATGATAAAATTGGTACCTGAAGTTGAAAATTTATTTGATTACAAAAAATAATTAGCTATTTGAATCATCATACAAAAATTCATATTTTATATTAATTACTGGTGCGAAATAAACAAAACATTAGTTGTTTTTCCTTATAAAGATTCACTTCCCTATCATGAATCTCATAATAAAAATATTTTATGAATTAAGGAAAAAATGTAAAATAACAATAATGTTGAAAAGATCAGTATATAGTAGTTCATAATACATATAAAGTGTTCTTTATTCCTCATAGTTAATGTAAAGTTTTACGGAGTTTTGAAAGCTAAAATTATGGGCTTTGTGCTTAATAACCTATAGGCACATGCACTTAATTCTTAACTCATTTCAAATCAAATTCCCAACCTCATGATACCTGGAAGTTTATACATGCAGTTTCCATTTCAGTATATATGAATATTTTACATAAGCAACGTAGATGTGCATATTTTAATGATGTTCAAATTAGTGGAGCTTAAATGTTCTAAAATGCAATTATATGACACGTTTTCTACACTCAAATGCTATAAATTACATATACTCAATTAATTTGCTTTTTGTATTGTTATTTAGGATTATCATTTACTGATTATTGTTACAAATAAAATATATATGAATACAGCAACTACTGCATACATAAAATATTATTAGATTATTTTGCCCTTTTTTTTACGATTCAACCCTTTCATATTACATTATCACACATTAAAGAAGTTGGAATTCCAATTTTTCTTAAAAATTTTTACAAGTCTGTATCTTTTTATGTAAAGAAATATTAGTTTGCTTTGCCTGATGTAGCAATGCTCACATGGATGACCAAGTCAAAGAGTTTTTTCCTTAGGTGGAACATTATATGTTTCATATTCGTTCAGCTACTGTATCTGGCAGGACAGAGATATAAAAAAAAAAAAATCATTTAAATAGATGAATTTTCACAATGTAAGTCTTGAATTTATGCAAATTTTAATTTATAAAGCACCTGCTAGAGCACCCATTAGTGAAATATTCTGTATAAATTTATTTAACTCCTAATATGTAGTCTACAATATATATAAGCTAAATTTATTTCATATTCCAGACTGTTTCCCTGGATACAAAATTAGTATATATAAAAATTAATATGCTATAAAATTTCTCAGATGAATGCATTAAAACAACGTAATTCACATTTCAGGTCAATAACATTAATTCGACTTAAAAATAATGAAGAAAATACTGTCTGGTATAAAAAAATTTACAATTTTTTGTAATATTAATTTAAAATTATGTAATGTTTGACCTCAAAATCTATGAAGTACTTAATGTATTCTTTTGGATGATTTATACCCATTCCACTGATTTTTTAACTCTAGGATAATTTTTTAATTAATCAGATAACAGGTTTCCCTTACTATACAAAATAAAATATTCCTGTGAAACCTGTAATAAAACTAAATCAAATAAATGAAAATAGTTACCATTATGGGTCTTTAAATTAATTGTGTCAAATAACATATAGAAACCTAAAATTACAGAAAAGTAAGAATTACGTGATAATTATTGTCCAAATAAATAAAAATAACACATGTAATGCCATCTCCCCTTCTAAAATTGGGAAAAATAGCATACATAGTGGAAAACTTAAATGGGGTGACAATTACAATATTTTGTTAATGTTGTGTTGTAAATGTCACAAATTTTAATTATGTGCTAATTAATTTAACTTTGAATTAAGGATTTTTTTATTTTTAAAGAAACTGATTAATTAACAACAGCATAATTTTTTGGAAAATTGAAAAACTTTGTATTATAAATTTACATACTTTGCTAGGATTCTCACAGTTGGGAATTTCTGGGTGAGGCTTGACATCTGGATAGGAAATAGAGGGTTTAAATTACATGGGTCTGTGAATGGGGAATTGCCTGGTGAAAGGAGCGAACTAGAGTCACCTTTTTGCTCAGATTTTCTTGACTAGAGATTAAAAAAATTTCAGGTTTGGTAAACAAATTGCTCTTCTTCCAATAGGAGAGCTATGGAGGGTTGTCTACTGTGCAAGTGAAGGGATTTTGAGAATATCTGAAGGAATATGTTTTTCCCCTTCTTGTTGATAAATTATCTATGAAAATGGTCCACCCATTTTCAAACTTGTATGTGTTCTCGTGAACTTAGTCATTAGCCCACCAATTAGATGTCAACTGGAATAGAATAAAATGTGTGTGTGTAACTGTACTGAATGCTAAGTAATTTGTTTATAGATGAAACTCCCCAAGCTAGGATATGCAGCTTAGTTATTGGATCATGTCAAGATGTATTCTAAATAGAAATGAATAGTGAAATTGAATAGTGTTTATCGTATATTAATGTCCTTATATGAAATTTAAAATTGGTCATCTGTTGAATTCTCAATTTGTTTACAAATTCCTTTTTATTTTTCAAAAGAATTTAAATTAAAGAAAAAACATTAATTTATATTTTCGAAAGGACACAAATACGTGGTCTTCAGTACCTCTTCGGCAAAATTAGTAATTTCAGTATTTTACTTTATAGGATGAGTAGTGATGTAAATTGTATGGAAAGTTGTATGTCACTCTATACAAATTATTGTAATTTACTTTAAGAGAAAAATGCTGTAGGGATCAGATCAGTTATCACAGTTACCTAAAAGTTCATTTAATTTAGAAAATTAATGCGTTTGATTATTAACACTGTAAATGTTATTTTGGTTTATTTTGGTCACTCCATTATTTTAAACTGGAAGGTTCTAGAAACTTGGAGCCCTACTTGAATCTGGGCTTTGAATGTAAAATGACAACACAATGCTAAATTTACAACTGGATGTTATAGAAAATTTTGAGTAATAGAGGATGTCACCAAAATAGCTAAACTTAAATTTACTGAGTTATCATGTTTGTAAACTGGGTGATTTTGTAAACTTAATTATGAATGGCCACTTCTTACTTGGTATTTTGCATGAGGTTATATATTAATGGATTTCAAAAAATGAATTTGTTACTATAGCTATGAAGTTAGGAATTACTGTTTATCTAGTTGTGGTTATTTAAGGTTATAGTATTTTAAGGAGAGATGACATATTTTTAGAATACTGAATTGATGCACTAATCAGAATAATTATGCATTGCTGTCTTTCAGTGAATTATTTAATTACATGGAAACCAATTTCTATAATGCATGAAAGATGAAAAGCAAATTAAATGTCAATTAAACCATATAAACTAGTAACAGATAATGTATTAAGTAACAAGGAAAAGATCACAAAATAAATAATTGTTAAATTTTAATTTTTTTAAACAAATGATGTTAAGGAACTACCTGTGCCTTGCAAGATGTGGGTGCTAATTCCAAAACACTTTCAGATAAATCTTTTTTTACCTCATCTAAATCTGTGTATACATTGTTTCGCAATAAATGCACAACAACTAATCTCTCACAGTTTGCACTAGCTGCTAATTCTCTACGGCCTTGAGGTGATGAAAAAAGCCATTCTGTTTCCCTGTTAATAACAGAAGCAATTTTTATTTACTATGATGTGAGAAAAATAAAACAAATTTACACTGAAAAATTTAAAAAGAATACTGTACCTTCCTTGAGGAACAACAAATATAGCAAACTTTAATGATGCTGTTTCTTCTCTATCAACCACAAACATTTTATATTTCACCATACCAGTATCTGGAGAACATAGTTCCAAACATATATCATCTTCAGTTACTTTCCTTGAATTAAATGTATATAATTTTAGTAATACAATTATGAAATATATAGCAAAAAATTAAAGAAAAACAATGTGATCTGCTAATTAACATAACACTATTAATAAATATAATATTGCATTAAGTATTCTATATTAGAAAACCAGAAATCTGCACAACCTGAGACCAGACTAATGCACATTTTAGGGTTTTGTGGATTTTAAGGTATAAAAGAAATATTACTAGATACAGGTTAAAACCTCCCTTCTGACATCTTTATAGGACAAAACAAGAAGCATATAAAGAAGACAGGATAAAAAATGTAGTTCTTTCTGATTATCTGCCTGCTGCAAAATCACGAAATCACTGATGACTTAAAAAGTATTTGCAAACTTGTTAGTGACACATTTTTTGCTGAACTGATGTGAGACAGGCAAAAGCCATTTTCAAAATGGTGGCCTGCTAAGACTTTCACACACGCGCAATCAATCAATAAAATTTTAAAAGAAACATTGGTAATAAAATGCCCCCCCCCACCTTTTTTTCTTTTGTTTTGTCAGTGATCTGTTTTTGCTTTAAAAAAAAAAAATGCACAAACTCGGCATCATGCATTATTGACATTGCACACCAGCCAAAACAGATATATGCTATGCACATAACTGGCTTGCCCTATAAATTTTTTTTAGCAACACTAGGTTTGCCACAAAACTAGTTAGGAAAGATATTGCTTTATTGGATGAATACTTTTTGTCAGGATATCTAGGTAATCAGAATGTACCAAATATATATATAAAAAAAGACACATAAAATATTATGATACATTTTTTTATTACAGTCCAAAGTCTTTAATCTGGACCTCCATAATCCGGACTTCAAAGCTACAAACTTTCTGCGCATGCGTCAACGCATAATGCGTTAACGCATGCTCATAATACCTTTACGCATACGCATATGCATCTACGCATGCGCATAATACGTTTACGCATTCACGTTTAATGTATAAGCTAAGCTAAAATTATCTATTTCAGTTAATGTTGCAGATTGTGTTGCTCCTTAACCTTCTAATTGAATCTGGCTTATTATTTTTTGCAGACTGTTAGAGCAATTTTATAAAAGTATGTTTGAATCTTCGATTATGTCAAAAAGAATTTCTGATTCTGGAGCTACCAAAGGATCTACAAAGCAAAAGCATGTTTCGATGTACACAAAAAAAAAAGTGGAATTGCTGCAAAAAATGCATAAAAGCATATCCTTTGATTCTCTAACCATTCTGAAATATGTTTATCAATTTCATGCAGCTCAGACGGGGGGGGGGGACGCAGTGCGCAATGAACTTGAAGTTGATCTGTCAGCACTATCCTTATCTTCAGGGCAGATGTGTTTATTTTATTCGGCTTATAATTCCTTACAAAATGTAGTATTTCATCTCGATGTACCCTGTCTTTGATATGATTTAAATTCAAATTCCTCGTCATTATAAATATCACAAATACACATCAAATAGTTTTCTGGTTGCAATTTTCTAATTTTGACTATGCGTAATGTACGCTTTACGCATGCGCGCGTTGAAAGGAATGTTTAATAAAGTAAACAAATAAATATTAAACTTTTTTTTGGTAAATTTTGATACCCTTTAGATCATAATTGCTCTTTATTTCATAAATTACAGTTTCATATTTTTAATTTTATAATTTCTGCATGCCATCTTACCAGATTTAAACTGATGATCTATAATCCAGAAAAACCGATAATCCGGAATCGCCTGATGAGTCTGGATTAAAGACTTTTGACTGTATCTGTTTTATCAGTTTGCTTTAAAACTTTATGATATTCCAGTTTGAACTTTCTTTCTTTCCAAATTAATATTCATTATATTCTTTATTTCCTGATTAGTTTTTTTTTTTTTTCTTTCTAAAAATATTAACTATTTTTCTTTCAGAACTAAATCTTCCAATGTTACCTTTTTAAGCATTCTCTACATCATCACAAAGATCAGAATATTCAAGTTCTGGAGTTAAAACTTTCTAAATGATTTCATCAACAGACATCTGGCAGTGTTCTTGCAAATTTCATTTAAATTTGTCATACAATCAACGGTCCTTTTTCCTTGAAATATGTGTTCCTTTTATATCATTTCATTAGCCTTGGAAGCTCAATTTAGAAAATTCATCATTATGGTGCAAAGCGAATATGATTGTTAAATCTGCCACATCTTTATCTTGGAAACAGAAATTTTTAGTTTGAAAGTTAAGCATTAATCTTATTAAACATACACAACAAAATTTACATGACAATTTAGTCTTCTAATTTGTAATAATAGTAATAATTTATTCTTCTAATGTAAAACCATACAGACAAGAAAGTATATACTTAAGTACCTTATGAAAAATTTTTAATTGACCTGTACTATTTGCCTGTATTTTCTGCACATAAATACAAAATGAAGATTCTCATATTAACAACTTTTTCTACCAAGAATTAGGTTTTCAATGAAATTATCAGTGTCAGGTAATTTTATCTACTTGGTGCCACATGGAGTTATTTAACACTGGTGTAAATATATATTATATACCTACACATTTCATATTTTTATACTATTAAGTTAGTCACAAATTTTTTAACAATTGTTAATGAAACTTTGAAAAAAAATCAGATTTATATTATGTCGAAAGGGGCCTTTTTTTTTTTTTTTTTTTAAACATTTTGTGGGTTACCTTTATTTATTAAATATAATGTTCTTCGCACTTAAACCATAAAATTCAGTTCAAGAGCAATATTGCAAAATAATTTTAGATTGAGCATATCTTTAGAATTTCCAATACACAGGCTCACATGCTGGAGATAATCATGCTGTACAACGTTGCCATTGCTCGCTTTGAAATCTTTAAGCTTCTTAATCAAAAACTGATAAATGCTTTACAAAATATGAAACAGATAATAAAACAAATTCCTTTGGGCTTCCAGATGCCCATATTTGCAGTAGGATTACAACATTCAAAATTTGATGACTCTAGATACACCACCACACACCACCTAGATACCGTTGTTTTATCACATGGAAGAAACACACAGACATTTATGCAGATTCTTCATTCTTTAATTTCTTCAAATATAATACAGGACGATAATATTTGGTGGCCACGATTTGAAAAGTGAAAGGACATTTAGAGTCATTCGATGCCAAATCACAAAACGAAAGCAATAGTTCCTCAGGACAAAGCCCCTTTGGACTAAAAATCTTCTTATAAGTTAAATACTTAAATTATTTAGATGTTGAAAGGCTATGTTCTTGATTTTAATTCCAAAATCCCCTGCTTTTTTACCTGGACTTTTGTCTTCTAATAAACCTCATTAATAGTTTGGAAACATTTTGAGATGCAAGCACATGTAATTATTTATTGATGTTAGTAAAAATATTCTAAGGATATAGGATGTAGCTAATTGAAGGCTTTAAAAACTAAACTAAATTTTACCATTAAATATACATTAAATTTGAAAATATAAAAATTCAGAATTTAAAATAATTAAATTAATTTATTACTAACTTCTTCCCAAGGTAATGCTTTAAAAATGCATACTGTTGTAAAGAATTAACATATTCAACAATATCAGTTTTTGCCAAGCAACGTTTAGGTGTGGGTACACCATCATGTACTATCTCCAAAACCTATAAATTAAAAGAAAAAAAAATTATGCAAGACTTAAAAATAATTTACTTTTAAATGCCATTAAAATTAAAATGGATCCATACTTTAAGTGATTACTAATAAACTGCATAATAAATCATTTTACACTGTTAGGTGTTTTAATTTTATAAATTGATCAATCAATTATATAACCATTTAATCAAGCAAAGACATGAAAATTTACTCAATGAAAAAATCTAATTGCAGCTGAAAAAAAATATGATTATAATAATAATGACATGATTCAAAAACAATAATTTTACGTTACATTTATTACATGAACTTTTACACATCAAATTGATTTTTAAATAATCCCCTCTCTGTAAATTCTACTGGTTACTAAATCCCCTCTCAGTAGTACACGAATCTGCTGATTAATTTATCAGTTTCAAGAAGTTAAAATTCTATCATTTTCTAATAACTTAATTTATTATTAATGATTATGACTTAAAATTGTGGAATTAAACTCTAAAGTCGATGATTTTAAATATGGATCTGTATTCCATCATACTGTAGCAATTAAGTAAGAAAAGACTATTACAAGAGCTACTGAAAGATTTGTAGTGCATATGATAAAATGACAATCAGAGATCAAACAATAAAAAAAAAAAAAAAAAAAATTAATTCTAAATATCTGAATTCAAAGACATTTTTTCAGTTCCAAATATATTTGAATATAATGGAATGCATGAACTACACAACACAATAATTAGCTGAGGTTAAATGCACTATAATCTTTAGCATTTTGACTTCAGAGAAAGCTTAAGAAAATACCAAATCTGAAAGTTTAAGTATTGCTCCAGCTCAACAGCCTTTCAAGAGAATTTATTAGAAAGATCAGATGATATTAAAATAAATCATATTATTATAAATAACAAAATCTTTATTACTAAGAAGAATAGCCTGCTTAGATCATAACAAATGAGAGGTTATGCTGGGTTATTCTGAACATGGCAAAGCACACAAAGTCTATCTGCCTGCAAGGAAGGATGCCTTTGTGGAGAACTTTCTAAGGAAAACTGGTTCGTATTTACATTATACAAAGAAAAACCATAAAAGCCAAACATGCAGGAAGCCTGGTTGCTGGGATTTGAACTCAAGAAAAATTACCGGAATTGAGCAGTCTTTAACTGCTTTCCCATTGGGGGTCTAACAAATGCGATATAATTAAGGTGACATAACACGGCAAACACAGACTAATAAATTAATTTTAAATATTAATTTATAAGTCCAACAACAAAAATCAGCATTATATTTGCAAATTTTCACAGGACTAGTTTCGATGGTTTTACCGAACCATCATCCTCAAACTGCCACAAATTTAAAAAAAAAAAAAAAAAAGAAGACGAAACAAATATAACACTGATTTTTGTTAAATCAGCGTCTCATTTTCTAAATTAAAATGAGAGATAATCATGATGACTGGTTTTACATGAAGATTAGCCCCGGGGCTAAAAATGAGTAGCCACTCTGCTGATGGGCTAAGGACATTCTGATAATTCAGATATGATTTTACCACATTTCGCCTAATCACACATGAAAATACACCCCTCAAATTTTCTTGAACAGTTTATACTGTATCCTTAGTTTCAGACTTTCTTCCAAGTTTATCAATAGCTCATATCATTTAAAAATCTATTACATGGGAAGAAAGTTCATAATGATCTTGAACTTGATAAATTCATAAAAAAAAAAAAATTTTAAACATTAACCATCCAGAATTTTTTGAAAAATGAATACCAGAAACAAATTGTATTTAATAGCATATACTTTACAACATTAAAATTTAATTTAATGTTTTTAAATGTAAAAATTTAACTTTCCACACAAAATGAAGCTTATTTATTAATCAACCATTATTTGTATTCCAGCAATCTTTCAACTTTAAAATTTACATGGAAAATAAATTAATTTAAGAATTTGATTAATATTTTTTAATCTTTAACCATACAAACATGGTTGACATTTTTATTTGATGTAATACCAAGATATATATTTATAGATTTACACTTTTATCTTTTACATTTTTATATATGAAAATGTATCTATTTTTTTTATTTTTTTAATGAGACAGAAAATACCAAATTAATTTGAATAAGTATGCACCACATTGCATAAAATATTATATATTTAAGTTAATATTCCAAGCACACAAATATATTTTTTATTATTTATTTCTGTCGATTTATGCACAGCCACCTACACAAAACTCATTTGAACATCACTAAATCTCAGCTGGTGGTTACGGCCTAATGACCAGCTTCAAATTAATGATGCTGCTTTTATCTCATATGAAGCTCTGATAACAAACTGCTGCTATTACCAGAGATAAGTATTATTGGCAAAAAGTTTTTAAAGTGTATCATTCTACATTAGTTCGTTGTTTATTGAAACAACTAAGCGGAAATTTTATTTAAAACAAATTTAAAAGACAATGTTTAAAAAAAAAATTACAAGATACACTGTTTAGAAAAGTTTTACCATCAAGTTGTCCTAAAATGTAAAAGATATTTTTTGTTAAGTGGGGAGGGAAGGGAAACTTGCATTAAAAAAAACTAAATCTTTTTTTTTCCCCCCACTAATGCTAATTTAACTGTTTCATACACATATATACATTTTCAGTATTACATGTTTCAATATTCCATGCATATATAATTTTAATAACATATAAAAAAACTTAAATAAATTTTTCATAGATTTTCAGTTTTTAAATAAAGAATGAATAATTAAATCTAAAAAAAAAAAAAAAAACCAACTTCTTTTACATTCTTTTTTCCATCTCCTTTTTAAAAGAAAATTCTTTAAAGAATAAATAAAAAAAGGGGAATTTCAGATTAATTCTTATAAGATTCAGATTCTTTTTTAATACAACTTATATAGTTTAAAAATTTTAATAGTTATAAAACATTTCAATGCTTAATTATAAATATTAATAAGTTAATACACAATTGTAGAATACTGCTATCTTTGCAAAAATATATTTTATTAAATTAAAATTAATTTACCATAGACGAGCCAAGCATTTTCTTCATTTTTGTTGCAACAACAATAAACACTGGAAATGCTACAGAATTTTCATGTTTAGCCTCAGCTTTGATACAACGGTGAAATCTTAGAAGCCATTCTCTAGGGGAAAGAAGAAAAATAAAAGGAACAGCACTTAATAACAAGAAAGAAAAGTTCATTCATTTAAATTATATTTTAAAAATAAATATGAATATTTCCTTAACAACTTTCTTGATTTACAATAAAATAGATATCCAACCGTTTTATTAAGCAACATGTCAAATTTTTAAGAACATTTTTAATTACAAATATTCTAAACTGTAAATAATAATTAAAAACAAACTTTATGACACACAAGCATCCAGATTGCTCAAATAAATAAATTTAATCTAAAAGATAAAAAGCAATTAATAAATTATTATGCCTTTAAAATTTATAATATGAACATGAATTTATATGCATTACATTTAATTCAATGATGATGATAAAATATCAAACTTACTATTATTTGTAAGCTAAACCACAGGCATAGTGCATGGACAGCTTATTCTTACGGTCAAATATTAACAATTATCTTCTTTGACCAAACACAGGATCATAAATATTTAAATATACTGGAAAAACTATATCTTATGTACGAAATTAATTGGTATACTTAATTTGGATATCTAACAGGTAAATAAAGTGAATTGTAAGCTATAACTGCCTTAAAACGAGCTTTTATATATATCATTAACTTCTTCATTAACCATAATGAAATGATACACGACTTTCCTTTGTTCACCTCTCTTTGCTGCTGGATTTGGTTCTACTAGAATTAAGGTTTCTCCTCAAATCCTATTCAATATTTAATAAAAAATATAACCAAAGGTTTCGAGTGGCAGTTTGAAACCACAAGAATTAAATGCAATTACCTCCCAGCAGATAAGATCTGTCATTCGCTTTTTTTACTAGTCATTATAGAAATAATTTGCAGTAATTGCTATGATTATATTATAATTTTTACCATCTTCACCATTCTTCACATTCTATAGCATCTGATCTTTCTATTTCTTGCATTAGCAGTTCAATAGATATCGTGCTTTTCTAATACTTTTGTATCATGCTAACATCACTCACAGTACACATATATATACTTACTTATGAAGATACCTCTCTGACTGAATATAACTTTAATCACTAAGTATTATATCTGGTTTGAATAGATTCAACTATTTTTATTCGCTTTCTATAGCTAAAAAGCATTTTCAATGTGCATTTGCTCTTTCACTTAGTACAGTCAAAAGTCTTTAATCCGGACTCGTCGGGACTTCGGCGATTCCGGATTATCGATTTTTCTGGATTATAGATCATCAGTTTAAATCTGGTAAGATGGCATGCAGAAATTATAGAATTAAAAATATGAAACCGTAATTTATAAAATAATGAGCAATTATGATCTAAAGGATATCAAAATTTACAGAAAAAGAAGCTTAATATTTATTTGTTTACTTTATTAAACATTTCTTTCAATGTACGCGTGCGTAAAGCATACATTACGCATAGCCGAAATTAGAAAATTGCAACCAGAAAACTATTTGATTTGTATTCATGATATTTATAATGACGACCAATTTGATTTAAATCATATCAAAGACGGAGTACATCGAGATGAAATACTACATTTAGTAAGGAATTATAAGCCGAATAAAATAAAAACATCTGCCCAGAAGATAACGATAGTGCTGACAGATCAACTTCCAGTTCATTGCGCGCCGCGACGTTCCCCCCCTCCCCCGCGCAGAGCAGTGTGAAATTGATAAACAGATTTCGAAACGGTTAGATAAACAAAGGATATGCCTTTATCCATTTTTTGTAGCTATTCCACTTTTTGTTTGATGGACATCGAAACACACTTTCATTTTGTAGATCCTTTGGGAGCACCAGCATCGGAAATTCTATTTGACATAATTGAAAGTTCAAGCTTTCTTTTATAAAATTGCTCTTACAGTCTGCAAAAATATAATAAGCCGGATCCAATTTGAAAATTAAGGAACAACGCAATCATCAACATTAACTGAAATAGATAATTAGATAATTTTAGCTTATACCATCCATTATACATTAAACGCGCAGGCAAAAACGTATTCTGCGCTTGCGCAGACGCATATGCGCAGTCGTAAAAGTCTTGCGCGCACGAGTAAACGCCTATGCGCATGCGTCAACGCCTATGCGCATGCGTCAACGCGGCACATGCGCAGAAAGATTTTAGCTTTGAGGTCCAGAATTATGGGTGTCCGAATTAATGACTTTTGACTGTAATTCTAGCCTATATGACATAGTGAATTTTCCATATGATACAGTAAATTATATATGTACTAGCCGCTAAGCGGCCAGCCTTTGCTGGCTATTAAATGTACCCAAAAAGTGCCTAAAGTACCAAACACTAAATTTAAAAATTGTACAGAATTTTACTCTGCAGAACAAGCTTGTGGCAACACAAGCCTGTCTTGTCTAATTATAGCAATTAAATTACATTAATTAAACATTACAAAAATCAAAAATGCATTTTAATAATATTTAGGGTTACATAGTTCCCAATTATAAAATAAAGAATTATTAATTGACTAATTTCTCAAAATATGTCCTTAAAACAATATGTAACCAAATATGCATAATTACGTTAATCAAAACTGTAGTTTGATTAAAATAATTGGTAAAGATGACACAATTCTGTATTAAAACTGTGATTAATGAAATTTTAAAACTTCTGTAATAGTTATTAAAATTAATAAGATGATACAGTCAAAAGTCGTTAATTCGGACACCCATAATTCCGTCTCAAGGTTACCAATATTCCAATATTCCGTCTCAAGGCGTTCAGTTGTCTAGTTAAATCGTCAAGTCGAGCAGTGACTTGATCCCCTGGGTCCTGGACTTGAGCAGCTCTGACTGGGTGGCGCTCTCGATGACTGGCTTGCTGGGCTGCCTCAAATTTCATGGCGTACACTAGAGCACTTTTTAAATCTTTTACATCCGCTATTCGTAGAGCTTTCTGTATTTCAGTATCTCGGATGCCGTCGATAAAGTATTGCAAGGACAGGATTTCCCTTGTTTCTGTCGGGCATTCCGAAAAGGCGAGATGGGACAGCCTTTCAACATCCGCGTGGCGAGCTCCTGAAGTGTTTCGGTAGGCTTCTGTTGACGAGATTTTAATTGGAGCCTGCTGTAGTCTTTTAAACACTTCTTCCCAAAGCGCAGCTCCAAGGCGCCAGACAGAGCTTCGAAATCTAACCTTTTGTTTTCGGGAAGAGTCTGAACGATATCCGCTGCGTCAGCTCTTAAAGAAGCGGCGAGATGACAGGCCTTAGCTTGGGAATCCCATCTATTCGCATCCGCCACGACAGAAAATTGTGTCCTATACACTTGCCAGGAGGTCTTCCCATCATATGTGGATAGCTTCAGAGAGTGGACGAGCAGGCATTGGTAATAAAAATTTAAAACCATCGAATTGCTCCCTGCCGTCGCTACGAATTTCTTTAAAGTATCCACTTCTTTTGGCAACTGCAGAAACCCTATCATCAATTTGTTGTTCGACGGCAGAAACTCTTTCTTCTAATGTTCTTTTACAGAAGAAACTCTTTCTTCTATTTCTTCTTTCACCGAAGAAACTCTTTCTTCAATTTGATTTTACGAAGAAACTTTTTCTTCAATTTGTCCAACTTTATTTTCAACTGCGTCAATTCTGCCTTCCATACCTCAAATTTTTTTCTATTACGCAGTAATTTCTCTTTTCATTTCGTCTTGACCTGCTTTTTTTCAATCTTCTCTTGAACAGTCTTCATTTCGTCCTTTAACGGATTCCTTGGCCTAATTTCATTCTCCTCTTTAACAGAATCTTTCCTTCTTCTTTAAATGATGCTTGGCCAGCTTCCATCTTTTCTTGGAATGCAGCAAAAGCAATAATAAGCTGCCTCAAATTGCTTCTTCCATCGCTCTTGTTATTGGCATTCAAATCCCCACTTCTGACACCAAAAATTGTTGCGTGCGTACGGGTTCGTTATGAAATGAATGCAAAAGTCCGATGAAAAATGAACAAAAATTTATTATTATCACAACAAAAATGCTTAAATTTTCTCAAATTATCATGCAGTATTACAATATCTCACAGTAGTTATCTTTTAACTACTCAAATGTCCAATAGAACGTAATTCAAAACAGCTAAAGAACGCTAATCCGCGAATTCGCTACAATCAACAAGAGCAGTTTTCTAAACAACAACAAACTAAGCAACTACTACAAACTGAGATGTTTTCCTCCTTTTATAAGATTTTAAAATCACGCGCTAGAATTTTCCAGTACTTTCTCGAAATCAAAAAGAGATATTTATTTATTTAATGCACGCACTCTTGTATTTTCAATTTTCCGGCTTAGCTTTCTTTTAATATTCATCACGTGCTGCACTGCACGAGAAATAAAACCATTTAATTTATAATTGAACTAACATTAGCTTTTTAAATACCAAATTCATAACAATATATATATATACTATTTTTCAAAAAACATTTCTGACTCTTAATTACACTACTGGCATATTCTCTACAACAGAATTCTAATTATGTTTTTATTAAGTTTCTTAAATTACTTTATTTTTCTAAAGGATGATATATAAAAAACACTTCTAATACATAATAATTTCTCATTTTATTATTACATATTATTCTCTTATGTATTTTAATACATAATAAATTCTCATTTTATTATCTGTGCTAAAGCTCCTAAATAGCAGCTTTAGCACAGATATTTGACTTTTTTAATTACTAGTCATTACCTTATATATATGTGTGATAAAATTTGGAGTGAGTGCTGCATAATTAGAAAGATGCCAATCAAAGAAGAGACTTGTAGATTGGCGTAGCCGACTGAACATAATCTTTATTGCTGGACATGAATTAATTATCGAAACTGCATTCTTCATTATGCATGACCATGAGCATAATACTCACACCACAGTTTTATATAGGGTATCACATTTTAAATAACAGCCTAATTAGCAGCATGAAAAAGCATAGTGAAAAGAAATAGAATCCAAGTGGGAACAGAACTGCAAGCCAACTGTGCATTTATCCAATCTGGCAGGC